GAGGGCGTTCTTGAGTTTTGGATTTGAGGTTTGCCATGCCCATGGATTGAACCCATACTGACGTGGGCTCACATGTACCCGGATCATCTCGACGTCGGTCTCGACCCAGAAGTCTTTACTCTGACTAGCACCCTTCCACCAAGAAAAGAACGATGAGCATGCCAATGGGGTAGTCCTCAACAAGTTGTCAATCTCCCGGGGGACCTTCTTGGGGTAGAACACGGTGCGGAACGACGCGGCCTCCGACCCACCCTCCATAAGCGGCTGCTCACACATGTATGCACGAATGACCGGAATCCAGATCTGTTGAGCCGTACCGACAGTCAAATCAGGAGGACTGCCAGACGGGAAAGAAGTCACAGACAAAGCCGGGTGCCCAGTATCGCTCTGCTCAAGTGGCAGGCCGGTCACCCCAAGATGGGTCATCGAGAGCTGTTGAGCCTCGATATCAAAAGTCGTGCCCAAACGGGCCAAAGCGGGTCGGCTCAGGAGTAAAGGAACGCTGCATTGGACGATCGACACTTTGACCGCCACCCAGTGATGGGCTATGCCGAACCAGGCCCAAATCGCAAAGGTGGACTTGTGTACTCTGGAGGCTCCGAAACGAAAGTGCTCGATCTCATCAACAATCTCGTAAGGATGCTTGCGAATCTCGGCCTCTTCAACGAAGGCCTCAAACCAACGGTAGCCCGCCACGGACTTCGTGCAGGCCGTGTCCACAATGGCGAGCATGCCCTTCTCTGCAGAGAGGCCACCCATGGGGGACTCCGGGAACGAGGTGTCCTCATAGGCCGTCATATAGCACTCCTGCACGGTGTGGCACACCTGAGCTTGCTGTACCTGGCCAGAGACATTGGCAGTGGTGGTGGTGGTTCTCTGCCCCTTGAGAGGGCACTCGGGATCTTTGTGCCAATGTCCTCGACGTTTGCAAGCACTGCAATACGATCTCTGCTTAGCGAGGCGGAGACGTTCCTCCGATCGTCGCTTGAGCTCATCAGGATCAGTGCCACGACCTCGAAGCGACTCTCGGTATTTGGCCTTGGCCCCCCTGATAGGTCATGTAGGCCACGTGCTCTGCCTGGGCCGTCTCCTCGTCCACAAGAACGGAGGTCTCGCTGTCGGCCTTCTCCTCCTCGTCCGAAGTGGCACCGTCAACAGTCATGTGGACTGACTGGCGCCAACGAGGTCGATTGCCGCTGCTCTTGACATGGTCATTCCCTCCGGGTCCACGATGGCGAAGGGTCCTATCCTGCACCAAAGCGGCATGCTGTAGCCTACGGACATCATACTCGTTGCCAACTGAAGCCAGAAGCGCCAGCTCTTCCGATTCGCTCAAACGCAGCTTGTCAACGTAGAGCCAGGCCTTGACCAATGGTGGCAACTCGCAGCGAATCTCGTGGAGGCGAAGGACCATCCGTTCAAACTCCACATTGAACTCTCGGACCGACTGCTCCGGCCGTCTCTTGCACCGCCGGAAGAGGTCCGTCATGAGCTGAGAGATCTTGTTGACCTCGACATCCATGAACCTGGTCTGGACCCACTCCAAGAAGCAAGGGACTCCATGAGAGGTGCTCAACACGTCCAGATCCAGTTCTTCCGCAACCACCCAAGCCTTGTCAGACAAAGCATCGTACAAGGCGAGGGCTCGGTGAGCGGGCGGCAACTTTGTCACCCTCAACCAGGCCTGAACACGCCTGATGTACGAACGGGCAGATTTGCCCACAGCTTCCGGATTGGACTCATCCGTGGTGCCCCCGTCGAACGAGGGGACCTTCACCCGCTCCGTCGGCTTCTGCTGGTCCTTAAAGGCCTCGGTCGTGTAGGGCGTGCCGTCCCAGTCTCTGCCAGGAAACTGCCCTGCAGGGTGGAAAGATCCAAGCCACTTGCCATCGGAGGTCGCGGTCATCCGGGCTTAAAGGTGCCGTGTTGAAGTTCCGAAGCTGAGCATCGGACAACCAGCCCTGTGACTGCGACTCCCAAGCGGCGTCGTCCCATCCCGTGCTCGAAGGATCAAAAAAAGTCTGCCGCCATAGTGCTGGTACAGCCAAGCATCATCAGCCGCCCATGCGGCGGGATCCCAACCTTCCTCAGGCCAGTCTTCAGCGGCCCATTGTCCATCTTCCCATGATTCCTGCCAAGACTCGGTGTGCCAGGATTCATGGTCGGCACTTGCCGGGGCAGCGACCACGGCGGCTCCGGCACTCGAGGTACCACCGGAAGGAGTCGGTGGAGCCGAGGTGGAAGGTTTGGCATCCTGGTCCTTCCCTTTTCCCTTTCCTTTCTTTCGCCAAGAGGCCCATGGATCTTCAGGAGCAGGTAGATCTTTGGGCTCAGACGGTGAGGCGGTCTCGCAAGGTTGCCAAACTCGACCGCCTTTCATTTCCTGGAACTTTCCCAGCGCTCCGCGGCACCAATGTGAGAGCACTGCTCACGGCATGAACGAAAACAGCAAGTGCAAGCGCCTTTTTGCCTGCAAAGTCATGACTCTTGAGCCTGTGTCAGGCCGGTAGGTAAAGCACACTCAAAATGAGATGTACATGTCATGATTGTGCGATGACGAGCGACGTTCATCAACAGCTACTAGGAACAATTGCATCGCTTCTAGTAACAAGTGCCTTACTAGTAGTAACAAGGACGCTACGAACGGAACAAAGGGCATCGCTACGACGCTACGAACGGAGCGATCGGACGCTACATGCAACAGATCTGTCGGATCCTTTGGCCATACACCAGGGTATCCTTTGTGAGACGCCGCCACACATGAAGCGACACCAGTGCACCAGTGGACGTTGTCTGAACATGTCTGAAGTCTGGTCTGTGGTAATTTTCTTTTGTGGAGACGTTGTGCGATGCCCTTTGTTTCTAGTAGCTTCTTGCTCCTAGTAGTACGGCCTGTGTCAACGCACTGATCAAGTGAAGTTTATATAGTATAGTTTATTTAAACGTGGAGATAGTGTCTTGCCACCTTGATTGACCCAGCACTGCTTCCCTTTGAACCAAACCGAACTTCTGGAAGCCAAGTTTTCACCCCGGACCCTTGCCCAACTCTTGACATGAAAGGACCCTGACGGTATTGAGCCCCTGTTACAAACTCTTACAAGACTCCATTCTGAGATATTCTGAGTGATTTGAGATCATTCACCAACCTGAAGGTGGCAAGATGCCTTTGTAAACACCCTGTATCACCCTGCTTCAGTCGAAAAGAGTCGAGCGGTGCGTGTGCAATGCGCGCAGTCGATTTTGTCGCAGCCAGAGGCTTCTGGACAGCATACCCTGAGTGCTGTCTTGATTTGCAACGTGTTGCTACGTCTGGGTTTGTGATGGTGTAGTGTTTCCCGGCCACAAATCAATAGAGTTCTCCAAAAAGAAACGGCACTTGCGATGGGCCAACCCCTATGTCTTGCTCGGATGAGTTCGCAATAGATCCGAAAGGCTTCCTCCGCGGCCTACAGCTGCAACTCTACCCTTTTCGGCTCAGGTCTCATTTGGACTGAAGCAACGATGGACCAGCCGACGCGTCGCAGGGCTCCGCGGCCACGGTCGCGCGGGGTTGGGGGGCCAAGGTGTTAGGCTGGACATGGAGACAATGGTGTTTCACATGTTTGTTTTTTTCACCATTTTTGAACAATTTTGTGGGGTCTCTTCCGAACATTCGATTTTGCTTTTCAACTTGAATGTCGAGCAATTCAAGACCGAGCGAAAGAGGAAGTAAACTCATGGTAACCGGAGTGTGAGTCCAACATATCGCTTCTATGAGTACTGAACAAAGCTTCGGTTGTTTCAAAACTGTTCAAAACTATGTTTGGATCCACATACTTTTTCTTAGTGCTCGCTATCATTGTCATCCAACTCCCATTCTGACATATATTCTGACAAAGCAGCAACAGTCCAATGGGTGAAGATTCTGCACTACTCCAAATTGAAGACGTTCCATTATTTTCCCATTTAATCTATATATATATATATGTATAGAAGATGTGGCACAAATTCTAAAAAGCTTTCTCACTTTGAAGGCTCATCCATGCTTAGCCGCGACTTAGGAAGACTGTCAGACACGGACCCCCCTGAGGGCAGCACTGGAAGCTCCTCCATCGTGGCTGGCTGCTTTAGGCCTGCTTCATGGTGGCTCCACCGAATCATTGCGGTCAACCTTCAAACGAAAACAGCAGCACAGCTGAGCGAAGCTGAGATGTTTCAAGGCTGGGAAAAAAATCATGGAATGATATGGACTCCCATCATGCTTTCATGCTGTTCCTTTCAAATGATGTGGGTACGGCCCTACGGCTCCAAAAAATAGCCGATGCTCGCCCGCACAAGTGCAGGCCGCAGGTCGCTGGGGGCCAATTCCAAGGCCCTGACCGCATCCTTGGGCTCCTTCTCTCGCCTTGTCGTCCGCCATTCTCGCTAAACCGGTCGAGGTCGGAAGAGGCTCCGTCCGTCCGGCTCCGTCATGTGTGGGTGCCAGCGCCAGTTGCAGGACTCTTGGAACCCAAGGGAGGGACCTAGCTACTGGTAAGAAGAGAAGCCGATGAGGCAACTTGTGTTCTCGTTTAGGAGTCGAACTGAGTCTCGAACTGTTGAGCCTGTTGTCCCGAAACGAGCTCCCAAGCAGGCTAGCGGCTAGTGACATCACGCTTGAGAGTCTGCAACTTGGCAGTGTGAGCACCTTTCCATCCTTCAACCATTCGCAGCAATCGTGGCCATCCTTGCAAAGGTCCCTGTTGTCTTCACAAGCCAACTACGATGTGGTGGGTGCAAGTTCTGTTCCTGGCAGCCTTAGTGAGCAAGTTTCTGCAAGCTTGCAAATGCAGTCAGCTTTTGACCTGGCAGGGAGACCCCTGAATCGTTTCAAAGGGTTGTTAGGAAGACAACTCTCCAGCAGAAATGGCCAAATCTGGTGGGACTGCCCGAGCAATTTCTTTGAATTCCACTTCAAGAGCCAAACAGTAGCCCTGCTCACAAAGCAGAGCAACACGCAACACCTTTACTTGGGCGTAGCATCAACCTCTCCCTCGGCCAAGCGAAACCCAACAGACGGCCCCGAAGAAACATTTTGCACCATGCCGCTTAGCAGAACATCTCTTAGTACCGCATGTCTTGTGCATCAAATACTTCACACCACTTCCTTGTGCTCCACTTCGTCCTACAATGTGCAAATTCCTTAGTGGGTGCAAGTTGCTATCTGAGCTTGGCATCACGGCGTGGGCATCCCCAGTAGCCCACGTTTGGGCATGCTTCATCTGAGGGCCGTGCTTCTTATAACATTCCCTCAAGCCTGGGCGAACATGTGCACTTTGTGGAGCTACTCTTGAGGTGTACCTTCATGAAGGAAGCAGGGGCAGTGGCGAAACCCCTTTCTGAGTCGTCATTCTGCATGTCCACTTCACGCCAAGGACTACTGAAGTTGCACAACCTGAGATGATTGATGCCCCACGACTTGATTCCAGCCGGTCCCAGTCTCTTGCTTCCATCAAGCACCACCAGCCGCTGGTCCATTTCCACTCCCTGCCCAGTCTGCCCAGCGGCTTGTTCTTCCGGTGCCCTTCGGCAAGTCCCCGAAGATGCCTTCCGTGGTGATGCCCACCTCACCATCAGCTAATCACCAAGCCATGCATCGCGCTGCGCGCACTGGATGGCACGGGCCAATGCGGTGATTCTGGTCGTCTCTTTGGTATTGATGGATCCTCTGAAGCATTCTGAAGCCAGCCAACAGGACGCTACTAGGTGCAAAGGGCATCGCTACTAGGAATAAGGACGCTACTAAGGGCTCCTGGCCTTACTACTAGGAACAAGGACGCATGGTCCCTGTCCGGCGTTCAAGACGCTAATGATTACGGCACAGATCCTTTCACAGCCCACAGCCTTGTCACTAAACGACCCAACAGTCAGCCCTCCGAGGCCCTCGCTAGCCCTTCTCCCACCACCAGAAACAAGTCCGTGACAGGCACGAAGGACCTGGTGAGTCTGATCGTACACGCTACTAGTAACAAGTGCATCGCTAGTAGTAACAGGTGCCTTACTAGTAGTAACAAAAAAGCTAGTAGTAACAAGTGCCACGCTATTAGACACAAGTGCCTTACTAGTAGTAACACTACATATATAAATAGATCTCACACGACAGAATGTGGATCAAATATGATTCAAATCTCCTTTCAGATCAGAGTGGATCAACTATCAAATCCTCTTTCAGTTGTCAAGTTGAGCATTCTCATCCACGTGTCCACCCACACTGGTTGCTTGATCCTCCAATTCATTGGCTAGGCTGTGACATAAGTTCCTATACAATAACAATAAACAGCAAATCAATAGACACCTCGACTCAAACCACCTCGACAAGGCAAAACAACTCGTTTTCTTCGGGGACAAATTCAATGCCAAACCTATGACTCTGATCTCACTAGTCTTCCAACAACACAAACACACACACACACACCGGTTCCCAGTGATTCTCCTCATCTCACTGCTTCCTGTCTTTTTGAGGCCCCCAGCCACTCTGGCGGGACGCGAGCTGGCTCCAAGCCACGAGTGCTAGGCATTTCCTACAGCAGAGCTGGGGCATGACATCAGTGTTCCAAAGCGATCATTCTGTCTCCCGAGCTGGTTGGAGTATTTTGAATAGGGATGAACATCAGTGAGATCTGTTATTGGTATGGCTTGTTGGTTGGTTGGACCGTTAGACCCCTTTGTAGGTTCACTAGTTGATAAAAGCAGACGTTGCCTGAAGCAGTGCATGCAACAACTTAAATGTGTTGTAATGTGGGCGGTGTTGGTTCAGGTCAAAAGCAACAGGGACAGGTTACGTGATGTGCATGATTTACATGTTCCTTATTCAATGTACTTCAGGATGACTATACAGTCTCAAAAGGACCGGTGACCTGGTACTGAAATGGAATTGGGTGATCAAGAGATACAACACATGTTCTTTGAATTGTGAGTTACTGGGAGACAAACATTTTGCTTGGCGACCAAGAAGCTCTTGTTAAGGCATTCATCAGCAGTTGGCTGTGGCAATATGAGTTGCTCGGGCAATGAATTGTTGCTTACTACAGATCATCTCCTCACTGATAAGATAACTGATATAACAGGTTGTTCTCCCAAAATGGATACTGTACTTTTTGAGGTCAGGGATGCAAGTAGCGCTTCGAACATACAATGCCAAACGTGTCCAATATGTGGGCACGGCATCAAGTGGCAATCCCAACGGCCTCACACTTAGCACACTTAGTCTGATATAGTCTGATGGCCAGACTGAAACAAACCTTCCAACATGTTTCGTTTCAACATATAGAAAGTGTCGCCTTGCCCATTGACCCATCATTGACCCATCATCATCAGCATCACAAGCAATCTCGCGACTTTCTCCCAAACCAAAGCTCCGAATTGATGTTCCATGGAAATGCCACTGAGTCAATTTCTCACCAAATGAATTGACGCACGACGACGTCTTTTCCGGAACGAACCAAGACAAAACGTCTTTTCCGGAAGGACCTCGTAAGAAGGACCTCGCGGATGAAGGCAAACAAAACTAGGACGCTACTAGGGGCTCCTGGCCGTACTACTAGGAGCAAGGACGCTACTAGGGGCTCCTGGACTTACTACTAGGAGCAAGAAGCTACTAGTAACAAGGGCATCGCTAGTAGGAGCAAGATATCCGTCTTCGGTCCTTCCCATCCCATCCGAAGGTCTTCGAGGTCTGATGGTCTGCTCCTCAGAGCGGCGCAGCGGACGAGCCTCGCGACGTGCGTTTCCCTGGCCGTTCGTCGGATTGGTTCATCATGGGTGCCCAATGAAGCGATTCAACCAAACACACGGTTGATTCTCATGAGGTTCTTTGTTAGAGGGAGGGGATCACCTGAACCCTCAAGATTGATGAAACAACGTTGAAACATATCCAATAGTCCAGTGCTCCATTCGTGTGAGTTGTGATCCTGCTTGCAGGACAAGGGCGGAGAGGTGGTGGCTCTTTCTCTGAGACTTCACACTGTTCCAGTGAAAGACTTTGTCGTGTATGTAGCATCCTAACTACCGTAATAGCTCTGATCCATTGAATACGGCCACAACGGACAGCATGATCAAATGATCAGACTCTCTTTGGTTCCGAGTCTTCATGCAAACTCTCCCACTCTCCCGGGCCGGATCTGTGGACTCCGCTGGCCACAACGTCCCTCACGTTTCTCTCTTTCTCTTTCCGCAGCACAAACGCCGAGCACAAATGCCCAGCAAACACATTGGATGATCATAGTGATCTCTATAGTGTAATTGCCCTAGTTTACAATGTAAACCTTGCACCCTCCGATGAAGCAAGATAGAAACTGACAAACCACCCAAAATTATCTGTCCGCCCACCTTGTCAGTTTCCATGATTTCAAAGAGTGCAGCTATGAAACCATAGCAAATTCATGTCAGGCCTTGTGTTCCCTAGTTGAACTTGGGACGTCGCCGTGGCTGATCCGAGGGCCTGATCCGCACGACTCGTCCAAGCGACGGAAGAGGCCCAGGTAGCGGCTGATCTCACTTCGCTGGGCCCACGCTGCGATGTCCTCGCGGGCAGCGAGTCATGGTGAGGTCACTTGAGGACTCATAAGACTGAAGGGATTGGACAAGAACCGCATCTGATGTGGTTCTTGTCCAATCTATGATGTTTCATGTATTTGCAGGTATAGTACAGTACTGGCTGCAAACACTCTATTATCTTTGCTTTTTTTGATGCTTCGGCCTGCTGTTTGGACTGCCATCCCTTCGGTCCTTCCAAAGCAGCAAGCCCAGCTTTCTCACCTGCTACAAGGATCCGAAAAAACGGAGGAAGGTCAAGAGTTATTCTGTTTCTATTAGTAGCAAAGGACGCTACTAGTAGCAAAGGGCATCGCTACTAGGAGCAAATACGCTACCAGTACTAGGGGCTCCTGGCCTTACTACTAGGAACAAGAAGCTACTAGTAACAATACCTATAATAGTTTCTACATATGTTAATGTAGGTCTTTGACTGCCCAGTTTAGCAGGCAGGTCTTAGCCCAGTACTTGTGTCTATACTATAGCAGGTTCTTCTTCCTTGTGCCAATGACATACCCACTACCTTTCATGTTTTGCACAAGAGCTGGCCTGCTTGGCACAGGTCGTTCCCGCACTAGCAAAACTGCTACAGTATTGCCTTTGTTGGCCCATTGGCCACATGGACCTTATCTAAAGTTATATATAAAAGAAAACAAGTTGTTTGCATGTCGTAGGTGAATACAGGGCCTGGAAGCAAAAAGCCTTTCAACAGTACTTACTACATGTGATTCCTGTCTTCTGCAAGGATTCTGTACCGACAATAAAGCCTTCCGTATCCAAGCTTCTTGGACGAACCCTTTGGAGACTCTGGACGAACCCTTTGGAGATCCTTTGTCCTGTTCGTGAGGCTATGACATCATAAACAGCCATACTTCCTCTTCTTATCTGGAAAAGCGATCGGCTTCTCAACACCCAAACCCATTGCACGTGTTGAATTTGCTGTCCAACTGAATTCGGAGTGTAACACAAAGTACCATTTTTTGTGAACAGTTTAGAGTTTAGAGAAACTGTTTCAATCCCACATTATCTTTCATGTTGATTGTTGTTTGGATATCTGTTCTGGTTTTGTGACTGTTCCAAGGGGTTGAAAAAAACCTGAACTCCTGCTGCCCAGCTGGCGTCGGTGTCCGTCAAGGGCGCTGTGGCATCCTCAGGCCCCAGTGGCATCCCAAGTCGCGACATCACACCGAAATGGCTTAGAAGCTACGTTCGTAACAAGGGCATCGCTACTAGTAGCTTCTAGCTACTACCTGAAAGCCAAGAAACCATCCCAAAACAACACAAACAACAGAAAAACACCAAGGCCCTCCCATGTTGTCCCCCCCATCAGGTCCCCTGCAATGCCGCTGGGAAGGATGGCTGCCATGGCCGAGCGCCACTTCCGCGCCCACTTGCAGGCGCGGGCACCCGAGGGGTGGACCTAGGAAGTCTGCCCGGTGGACTTGGCGGTTAAAGCCAATTGGCTTGGTCTGCTTGCAGGACAGTGGCCTTAAAAACCTGCTAAAATATGTTCAAAGGCCTCAGAGTTCAAGGTTGAACACTGAAATTGCAGCATGAATATGTTCGGATAGTTTGATCAAAGATCTACAGGTTGCCAACAAATGTCATGTCAGGTTGCAGGTTGCCAATGACATCATGGCGTCGACCTTCACAGAAGCCACCTGACTCCCACAGCCACGTGACGAGTCACAGCCACGTGAGGCCCCAACCGCTATGACCTCCCGTGGGTCTCGGCCCACTTCCTCCTCAGGCTCCTCCTGTCACCAGCTACTTGGCTATATATGCATCTATAATCATCTATACATACATTTTTTGCTACTTGGCTACTAAGACCGCGCGCATGTTTGCCAAGCTGTTGTTGCATTATTATGGTCATTTTTTGCTGCTTTGTTATTTGATGTTATTTGTGTTGAAGACACATTGAGATGAACGGTTCATCAATGCCTGAAGCCTTGGATTCATTCGGATTCGGTTCTGGAGTTGCAACACAACTAACATTCTCGATCCCCGGAACACTGGCCTCAGTTCTACTTCTTTCCACCTCTTTGTTTCGAGTGAACTTTCACCAATCCCTTCACTCGGAAACTGCGAGGTGAGTGTCGAACTGCAACAGCACCCGCCATCGACAGTACCCGGTAGTGTGAAAATGGGTGAAATAAGGTCATGTTAACTGTGATAGGAAACTCGCAAAGAGCCCTCTTTAAGAATGACACCAAACGCTACTAGGGGCTCCTGGCCTTACTACTAGGAGCAAGGACGCTACTAGGGGCTCCTTGACTTGCTGAAAAGCCATCCTGACTTCTCGGAAGCACCACTGCAGTCTCTTGGAAGCAAAGCAGCTCGCAGGGTGGTACCCCAAACCCCGTGTCCTGAGCCCGCATTGGCTTTGGGCCATCATCTTCACTGGCGGTCCACCGGGCCTGGAGAAAGCTCTGTGCATGGAGATACGTGGAGTTCCAGTGACATGCTCCCTGATTCACGCGAAGTGTCCATGTTCCACTTGGGCATGTTGATCTAACACCATTCTCGATCATCTCGAACATTCCTAAGCTACTCTACTCTTTCGGAGTCCAAATGCCCAATGTACTGCCTCTTCATGTTGCCTCACGTTGCCTTTAGCAAAACATTCCAATAGGGCAAGCAAACAAGGAGCCGGAGTCCAAGCGAGATGACCAATGTGCAGCTAACCATAAGCCCAACATACCGTACCAACCCCTCATTGCCGGGGACAATTACATCTACCGTGCCAACAAAACAAACACAACTTTAAAGGAACAATCAATGGCACCTATTGTCATACATTCACCATCTTTTTGATTGACTGCTGGACTTGTGGACCTCATTAATTATTTGAGGATTGAGAAGCTCAATGAAATTCAACTGCTGGACGTTTCATGACTGATCTTCGCCCATCCTCCCACCTCCCAGGCCAGGTCGCGTTTCCGCTCCCTTTCCTCGGCAGGTGCTTGTCAGCCCTTTCCGAACACCGGGAGTGCAAGGGGCACTGCGACAAAAAAGGAAAAAGCGACAACGCTATAACGACATGGTTTGACGGGACATTTGCTGAAAGAATCGATGTCTGTATTTGAAAACAAACTTGAGCTTCGTGAGGTGTGTAGTTCTAGTTTGTCTGACTCAAGTAGTACTGTACATCGTGAGTTGCGGACTGAAACGATTCAAGTCGGGAGCAGTGGCAAACGGTCTGCAAAATAGCAGTGTCTTGCAAACTCCAGAGAAATGCCATGTGCTATCGCAGAATGGTACACAAAAACCAAGACACAAACACAACATGTTTGTGGTGCCTTAGTTTCTGGGGAAACTTGAGACAAGAAAAGCAGCTGTTTCAGCATGTCTCAGCACTGCCCCTCATACCTGTTCCATGCACTGGGTCTGCCAACTGCCAAAGGCCCCTTACCGCGACCTCAGCTGATGAAATGGCTCAAGACTCAGCCAAGTCCTTGCTACAAAAAGGCCCCGAGGTATACAGTTTGTTGATGCAACCAAGTTGCTATAAGTGTATATAGTCCTATAAACACACCAAACCAAACCAAGAACATATGTGAGCAATGTCTCCTCTCCGAAGAAAGCAACTCTTCTTAAGCAGTGGTTGACGGTCTTTTTGAGTGCCAGTTCTCCAAAGATTCACCCCGCCTTTGAAACTGAGTGAACGACCGCTGATGGGATTTCGCTCGTACCAATTGGTATCATCGCGGTGGCGGCGGCCATCGTCGATCTTCGCGGTGGTCGGGGGTCCCCCATGGTCAAACATGGTCATCCTCACTCGTGCCTGTTGATAGCGGAACAAATGCTATCACACTGTAGACCAGGTGGAATGACATTAACATACATTAAAGAGTAGTTCTGTTTCCGGGCAAGCCATTGGGTTTAGAAGTCAAGTAACAACTGGGATATTCCGCATGGCCACGCATCAGCTAGCCGCAGTTAAAACCGTGGGATGAATGAGAGATCCGAATCATGCAAGCAACTCCCATCTTTGAGATTCACATATACACTAGACAGAGAACCTCGCTGTGAACATTGAACATGATCGACTGTCTATAGGCATATTCCCCGCCAAACTCCCGAACCACATTCATCTCTCTCCAGCTGTTTTCTGTTCCCTGACATAATTATATACATTGAACATCATTGAACACATTCAAGTTGGAGATGTCCGTCACTTTCTGGCCGAATCTCATCCGTGGACTTTCTAGGCAAATGATGGCAAATGAGGATGAGTGGAATGCTACTAGGAACAAGTGCCTTACTAGTAGTAACAGGTGCCTTACTAGTAGTAACAAGAAGCTACTAGGGGCTCCTTGTTCAATAATTTTTCCACTGAAACACTCAACATCTCCATGGGTCCGTTCCCATCACCCCTTCCGCCTCGTAGGTCCCGTCCTCCCGCCGGTTCCCGCGGCCACGGTCCCGGTCCCGGTTGCGGCGCCGGCTCCGGGACCGGCTCCTGGACGAGGCTCCAGTGGGGAGGGTGGAGTTGGATCGCATCAGCTCTTGGATGGCTCTTGCCTGCATCATAGGCACTTCGAAATGTTTGGATTCGGAGCTTCGGCATTGGCTTGTTGGCTTGGAGGGTACCAAGCATGCAGGACTTGCCCAAATGGTTGGCTGAGCTTGCTTGTGTGTTCGATTGGTCAGTGGCCTATTAATATCTCTTGCTCTGGGTTGGAGGCAACGTACACCCACACAAGGAGTACACCCCATGCAATCACCAATTCTGTCATTGGATTCACAAGGTTGTGATGCTATAGGCTATCAACCACTTCAAGGAGGACACACACACACACACAAAAAAAAAAGAACACACATGGGTCCAACTCAGAAACGATCAATACCCAGTCCTCTTCCTGCTTTTGCTCCTTGCTGGCTGGCTGCATTCCACAACTGCTTTCAAACAGAGGGGCTTTGAGGTCATTCGGAGTTCTATGGCATTCTATGGCAATGGGACATGGGTTCAAAGAGACCCCACAGTAAAAAAGGTGTTCAATGCGTTTTTTAGATCAACCTTGGGAGGCACAACATTTAGTTCCGTCTAATTTTATTTTGGCGGAAAGGGAAATCGAACAACTCACAAAAAACTCCAACGAATTCGCTGTATGTGGGTAGCTGAGTATAAGTTTGTAAATTGTAAACAAAAACACAGCAGCCGCAGCAGCAGCAGCAGCAACAACAACAACAACAACAAACAAACAAACAAACAAACAAACAAACAAACAACAACAACAACTACTACTACTACTACTAGTACTAGTTGTATTATGTGCATCAAATAAAATCGTGGGATGCTCGTGCACCGCATCAAGTGAACAGGGCTCCTCTTGGTCTCCTCCGTTGGGTTTTCCTCCTGCGAGCTGAGAATGCGAATCCATGACAAGTGGACTATGCCCTCCACAAGCCCCTATCTTGGTAAATTAAACTATGCACATCGGGGTTATGCACATGACAGCGTGTTCCTGACAGGGAGAGCTTTGGGTGATGTCAGTCTGCCGTCGCACTACCAAATAGTTGCCAACTGACAAAAGTGTAGATTCTTTACCCATTTTACTTCGGACCATCATGTCTTTTTCCGGGAAAGGCGTTGCCCCGGATTTGGCCTAGCTCAAACAGCAGCGTTGAGGGGTCTTTGGCAGTGTTTCTTGTAAGGGTTGCGTGCTGCAGACCTCGCCACAACATGTGGAGTGTGTTGCACCTTCCAAACTGCTAAACGTTTGCGCTTGGATTGAAAGTTGCCCGTGTAACCTAGGTTATAGTTATATATATATATATATCACTAGCACAATTAACCACCACCAACTAAGAACAGCTGTACCGAACCGCAGTGCTTCGATGCCCTTGCATCGGTGGCCGTGGGTGGAAGACCCTTGAATAGTAGGTTCATCACGTTCTGCCGTCTCATTAGTACTGAAAAGTTTGGACCATGATAGTATCGAATCATCCGAATCATCTCATTCTGGGCTGCGTGTGCGGCTGCGCCGGTCCTGTATTTCAGGCACCGGCTCACCACTGGTGTCCCACACACGTGCATGGATGGCCTGAAAGCGAGATGGACACGGTCTGAAGCGCAAGGGGGTCTGCAATGGGCGAAGCACACGGACGATGTTTGGGTCAACAAAGTGAAGACGCACAAAGAGAGAATTCTTTTTTCTACTATACTCTTTGTTTCTACTAGCGATGGCCTCCATCCTAATAACCATGGCCTCCAACCTACTAGCGATGGCCTCCACCCGAATACCTCAATAATTTCAAACAGCCCTCAACATGCGCAGAGAATACCTGACATGACATGGCACGAGAAGAAACGATTTCCATGGGAGCAAGACAACACATGTGATCACCGCCTGCCGTAGCTCACGCCACAGCCCCATTTCAGGAAAGGTCTGCATGATCTTCGGCCAACCTGAGCCGCCCAAAGCGATGGAGCGCACTTGCTCTTCTATACATCTTTCCAGGTGGTGATTGTTTGCAGGTCGTCACTTCCGTTGGTCCCTTTGCACCATGCCAGGCCAACATGCCAGTAGAGGTCATCCGTTTAGCACCCTGCATGGCGAAAAACCCGCTCTGTGCGTCATCCGCACTGGCTGCCTCGAACCGCTGGGTTTGGGAGATTGGGAGATACCACCACCTGCTCCCCAAACCTACCAGGACCTACCAGTTCCTGCGCCACCGAGTTTCTGCGCTACGAATACCGCATTACCAATTGCATACTTCTCCATTCTAGACTCCAGGGTCTCGACATCTGTATTTCGGAAGCTGGCTCCAAGTATTAGTCGCGTCAAAGCAGCGAAAACGGCTCTTCCTTCGATGCGATTAAAACGTGCCGTTCGCCGGATGTTCATTGCAGAATAAATGCGCACCAGACTCACATTCACACATGGCCGGTAGGATTTACTGAGCCTCTGAGACAATGCAAGGGCGATGACAAAGAGGGAAATCCTCCGAACCATCCAACAACATTGAGGGTGCTTCATGCAAAGCTCCAGCCATCCAATTCCATTGCAATCACGAGCTCATCAAAAAAAAACAAAAACAAGGAGTTGTGCACCCGACAATCCACAGGTATGGCAATGAGTACTTGCCAAGTTGCTTTAACATTCCATTGAAAACAGTCGATGCACCTGGTGATGAATTTGCTGATGGTCTCCCGATCACAAGGAAAATCAGTCCCGGTCTTTGACAAATGCCATTGATCATAACAGTAATCATTTCCCATCGTCTAGCTGTCTAGGGATTGATGCATTCAGCGAACAGTTGGATAATCGAGCCTTCATAAGCATCTGAAAGAACGCCGAAAGGCGTTGGCGAAGGCGTGCGTGACAAAAGCTAAGAAGCCTTGTTGCAACAATGGCCACCAGGCCAAAAACCAGTGCAGATTATGAGTGGCGCATCTTAGTAGGATGCCAAAGGAAAGGAGCACCAACATGCCGAAAAAGTGGCAAGGCAGGCCACCACCTCGAGGGCCAACAGAAGGGAGGGTTGCAAGGAACCCAGCGCAAAGCCAGAAAAGGCAAAGGAAAAAAGAAGCAAGGATGACAGCGCAGGAATTGCATGGAATCGCCTCACTTGTAGTTGCGAAGCTGGTCTGCATTTCAGAAAGGCATCAAATTCAATTGGTGCAACACAATCTCAGGCGGTCGGCTTCATCACAACACACTAACATCTGGCTGCAATGCTTCAAACAACCTTCATGACCCCTTCGGCTTTGAGGCATGGGTCTTCTTGCTCAATGCAAATCTTCTCCAGGAACACTTTGCTTGTTGCCCTCCAAAGCCAAAGAGCCAGGCAAGAAAACAATGATCCTGCCAAAATGTACCACCCAGAGGCAGCTATATGACCTTTGAGTCGTCCGAGTGGTGGTAGCCGTTGAAACCAAGGGCAAAAATGCCCAAGGCTGCCAGTGTTCCTACAAATAAAACAGACCAATCCATTCTTCAAGATTAGAAGCCCAAATACCTTGTTCCAAGCATGTCCATGCCATGAATGTGTCAGGCATTGCTTGATTTCTTTGCATTGCTGCGTTGATACAAACATACGGCCGCCTCGTGCAAAGAGCTCACATCAGCTGGGCAAAAGCTGATTAGCAAGCCCTGCACGTGCTGCATACCCACAGGATCCTTGTGAATTATTTCCCCGTGGCGACGCGGTGTGGCTTATGAAGCTGCTGTTCTGATCAATGTTCTCGTTGTCTTCCGCATCTTTTGGATGCAGTGGAGGAACTTCCTCGAATTGCACACCACGGACATGACGTCAAGCTACCGGACCCTCCAAGACGGCCAACAACTGTACTATACTGTACTATGTGCTCAGCTACGAGCATTGACCGTCTAGGCGTTGTGTAAATGGGCTTTGGAACAGCATGCAAAGCCCTGCGACATCAACTTGCTGCTCCAAACAAGTTGAGATCCTGCATTACTGATCCTGTATTTTGGTGTTTTGTTGAGTTCAGGCTAAAACATCCGCTTGAAATTCCCCAATGGCTAAACGAGTGGAGCGCAGCCCCGCGAAGCGCCGTGGACCTCACTCAGAGTCCATCTGAGTCTCCCACCCGCGCGCACGCAGTCGTTAAATCTCTTGGCCTCCCGTCGATGATTCGCGACTCGGACGGTGGCCTCTTGATAGGGCCCTTTGATAGGGCAGATTGAGACACGAAGATCATTAAGATAATTGTTACAAATTGTTCCAAGATAATTAAGTGATATTAAGTGTTCATCAATAATTTAGAGTGGTTTGATGGTGGCCAATTTGACATATTTGGGGTATGTTCTCGCAAATACTTGCAATGGTTTCTGAAAAGCGTGTTGTATGTTGATTGTGGTTTACCTAAGTGGTTTACCCTTGATAGGTGTAATGTTATAAATACAAGTTGATTGAAATACAAAGTCCATCAAAGTCGCTTTATGCATGTGTTGTGTCAGGATCATGAAGCTCAATGCCATTTGGGGACTTTTATGATAACGTGATAAGCTGTTGTGGCCAAGATGTATGCAAATATGAAGTCAAACACAGAGTCCCTTGCCTACAACTTGGAGATCACAGCAAGATTTGCCGTCGATTGCCATTCCCTGCTCTCTTTTCAACGTGTATATAACAATTCATTCAAGCCCAACACACTCATCTCTTCTTGCACTGCCCTCTACCATTTCACTCGTCCTGACTCCTGACTTGCTTCGTAGCACTCAGCGACTCCACAAGCTCATGCCTTGAAATGCCTTGAAATATCTTGAAATGGCTCAATTGGCTCCTGCTTTGAAAAAATGAAAAAACAAACTTCCCTTTTGCCCCAAACCGAACTTGATCTAGCAGCACCGGGCCCGGTCTTTTCCCGATCTGACGGATGAAGGGGGTTGGGATATCGCACGAGGCCTCGGCCAAAGCGGCCCGGTTGAGGAGGCACAAGAATTGCGCTCGGAAGCACTTGGGCGCCTCGGCCGAGTCACGACACGCCACGAGTCCGACCGAGCTCGTGGCATCGACTTGGACCCTCGGCGTCGTTCGTCACGAAAAAGGGGGAGGCGTTGGATTTGTGGAGCCATGCCCAACAAAGCTTTTGTGTAAAGCTCACTACTAGGAGCAAAGAAGCTACTCCTGGCCTTACTCCTGGCCTTACTACTAGGAGCAAGGACGCTACTAGGGACTCCTGGCATCACTACTTGACCCAGTAACCTTTGATTTTTGTGCTTCCTTTGGCTTCGCGTTCCAAAGCGACCATCCCTTGGAGATTCGCCACTGTTTGTTCAAGAACAAACCTCTGAGGCTCTCACGCAATCATAGGCCGTCCGAATGGGTGCCTCAAAAATCCGTTCGGCTCACGAGCAACGAACACCAGGAAGGAAGGCTTTCAGCTTGAGGCACCGCCACACTGTTTGGCTCGTTGTTTAATTCTGTCCGGCAATTCATATTGGAGTCAACATTGGACTGAGTGGCATCCAAAGTTCAGCTTTGTCAATCTATCCAGGGCCAACAGCCGTGAAATTGCGGAAAGCCAAAGACTCCTTCTTATATCTTCCAGTTGTCCGACAATTGTATCCTTCTGTCCCTGACCAAAGTATAGCCCTCCTGGCAGCCACATTTGTCGGAATATGTTTCAGGACTCCTTGAGTGTGCCAGGTCTGAAGAGGCAAGGCCCGGACACTTGCATAAAGATCAAGCAAATATGTCTTCTCGAACCTGTGTGCGGGCGAGAAGACATGCGTCATCCTCCTAGTGTGCTCAAAAAAAAGGGGCCCTTTACATACACCACACAGGATCACACAGGCATGACTCCAAACAAGATTAAAGGCTAAGGGCTTGAACCCTAGGCCCTAAACCATGATACTAGCTGGGATTCTGAGTGATCCATTTAATAAATATAGTTGGACCTCTTGCATAATGCATTGGACACTGAAGCCAAAGTATCAGGCCCTAGTGAACGTCATATATGCATGGATGAACACGCATCGCTTGGGCGGCAGGTCCAAGAAAACCCGTTGATGGGAGGCCTACCTTCTTCGCAAGCATCTATCTTTGAACTGCACCAAGTCTCGCACATTCATCTATCTACAAACAAAAAGAACTACACCGGAAAGGATTCCGCGCCATTCTGACATCAGCGTCTGCATGTGACAGCTGTAGAACATGCGAGAGGACCGCCTCAGGTCGAAGACCAGGGAGCTTAGATCCCCTATTGGCAGGAGCTACTAATAGAGATGCCCTTTGTTCCTAGTAGCTTCTTGTTACTATAGTAGTAGTGCCAGGAGCTACTAGTTTCGAGCTTGGAGTGCCTGGATTGGCGATGGTGTGATGTTCAACGAGGATGCTTGCTCAGCTGCAAAAGGCAGTGCTTAGTTCTTCACAGAAATCAGTGCAACGTATTCACTTCACACCTGTATGAGGCCTCTCAGTGTGACGTGTGTTCAGCAAACACCTTGTAAACAAGGCTTCAACATGACTGCAATTGCCCTAACATAAGCCATAAAACCGTCTCCCCACAAACAACATCTTGGCAACACATACCACAATTCCAATTGCCCTTCTCGTGGGGCCAGTAACATGGACCTTTCGATGTCTAGATCTGGGGTGCGTCGCAGTGCGTTCTTCACCATGTCCATCCCACCGTATGTCACCGTATGTCAACGTGATCAACACAATATGTTCTGAGTTCTTCCAAGCACCTTCTCGTGGGATCATGATTTCAATGATTCAGTGAAGAACCCAAATCTTGGATCTTCTTGGATCTCAGATCTTCATGGACCCATGATGGACCCATGATGGACCCATGATGGACCCATGATCAATTGGCCAAACCAGTCGATCTCCTTCTTCTACTCGTTCCCCACACGTTCCGCTCCAAAAGGCTGGAACTTGAACTGCGCCCTGCCCTGGCCGCATGTGGGGACCAAACCGGTTGGAGGTTGGCAAGGTTGGGAAAAGAACATTTTGGAACCAGGACTATAGAACAAAACATACTGGCTGAATTCACACGCCAATGTCTTTACTGGTTTCTTTGAGGTTGTGGCATTTCGCATGGGCACAGTTGTTCATTTCCATGCTTAGGTTTCTTTGGTTTGTGTTTGCCTTCTCGGGAGTACGTGTCCTTTCCGTAAATACCTCCCGGTGGAACAATACTTACATGTAAGATCATGTAAGGACTGCAGGCTCGGCCACCCGTTCCAAGTTTGGAAACAAGGCTCGATGGGGGCAAAATCGGATTCATTGGAACCCTCCGCGTCTGTCTGGAACAGGCAATGCGCAGTTGGAGAAAAAATGAGCTAACGAGGCGAGCAAGTTGACAGCCATTCAGGACTGTGACCCACAGGTGAAGAACACGTTGAAGTCACACAATGACCTTGGGCATCTGGTTCAGGGGCATATGAGTTTCCTTTGTGTCAGCAAACTTAAACGCTTGAGACTGGAGACCGCCAACAATCAAAGCACACGCTTCCCGAAAGCCTGCGCAACATGGGACACTTCTCCCTCTGTCACGATTCCGCACACGGCACCTCAAAGCAAAGTCGCACAGCTCCCACGGAAACGTCGCGGTTTCAGTCTCCCAGGGCTCCCAGGGTCGCGCAGGTCGTGGCTCAGACCCGTCACAAGTGAGGAGAACGACATGGAGCGAACGATGTGGCTCGTCTGAGACATTTCCAATCGCAATCGATTCCAATCATGAAACAAATGACACAGTCCCGAAGAAGGAAAAAGAACAGTTGCTCAGTCTCAGGGGAAATCCTGCAAGTTTACTTTTTGGAAGCCTCCGAGGGGAGTTGATCATTTTCATTTCAAAACAGCTAGGCAGCTAATCATCTTACTCCTCTGAGATCGGAACACAAAAGCCGCGAGGCTTCTGCAAATAACGCCTCAGCCGTTGGTGGTTGGGTGGGTTCGATCGTGAACAGCCTTGTTCTCACGCAGGATGCATACCCCTCATTCGCGATAGGTCTAGGTCAAAGCTCAAGCCTTGGTCTTCTAGCTTTTTGCAGTCCATGAATTTGACCTCCAGGCAGTCCCATTATGATTTGCTTGGGCTTCCCCCCCGGAAACAGGTTGAGACCCTGCTCCCAATGCCACTCCAGGCTCTGATCTCGCGTTTCCCCCCACCTCTTGCGGTCGTTCCAGCATCATCTCCGTGGCTGTTCCACCCATGACCCCAACCTCACACAGCGGCTTGTGGAAACAAATCAGATTCAATGGAAGCAGGGGCAAACAATGGCAAACATGCTTGCGACTGTGGGTATTTGATGGTATTAAATTAGTATAACGCATGATGACAACTGGGATGAAAAACTCCAAGCTGCATCACATCATAAAAAAAGAACAAAGTCAAAGTACTGATCTGACCAAGCGAAACATACATGAAATCTTCATAAATTTTCTGCAATGCAAAAACGAAACTCACCATCGCATTGTTGTCTGGAACATCCCACCCTCCCAAAGAAGAGTCGACTCAGTGAGATTCCAGCAATGAGCTTCAAGGCGTTTCGCTGCTCTTGAAGCCCTTGTCGCAGCTCATCCGAGGCCTGCCGCTTGCGGCGCAACACTGCGCAGGAACACGGACACAACAGCCAGACCGCCACCCGACTGCCAGACCCCCACCTTGTGGAACAGTGACTCTTTTTTGTTTTCGCAAGTCCTTTGTTTTTGATAGACTGATTGAACCAGTTTTGGGATGACAAAACTGCACAATGATTTCACAGATTGTTGGAACAGGCTGGCGATTATTTCTATCCACGTCTATTTCAGCTAGAAGAACTGCGACCATCTTCAGTACCCGAACCAACATCCCGAAAAGCTCACCGCCTCAATGGGAGCACCTGACTCTCTTTTGGCTGCGTTAATAGCAAATGCTAGCAGGTAGTGCCCTGCTGTGCCTCTTGCTCCATTCCTCAATCTTACCATCTAGTGGTCAGTCCTTTGTGTATCAAGGAACAGCGCAATAGCTCGATCCATGTTCCAGCGGCCTTTTTCTCTCGAGGCAGTGGGATGTATCAAGGAATAATAACTCTAATAGCGATGGCCTCCAACCTAATAGCGATGGCCTAATAAACCAAGAAACCTGGACATGTTCACAAATCCCTTGAGTCACCTTCACTCCCCAAAAGAGTCACCGTCGGCCTCTGAGAGCCGATGGAAAGCTGCCTGTGCCTGGCGTCTGGGTCCAAAGTTCCCAGAGGGATGTGACCGAAAAACCAGGCATCTCTTTGTGGTTCCGCATCATTCCGAGTAGTCTCCAATAGAAACGCTTGAACATGTCCTAAAAGGACCCACCCTCTGAGTGGGAGGATGTATGACAACCATACATCTGGTGACTTCTGTTTCTGTGAGTAACACTTCCACTTGGTTCAAACACGGTGGACATGGGAAGCCGGACCTGAACTTGTGCTCAAATGGGCTTGGTTGGAATCTGTAGGTTTGCATTCTTCAGGTTAGTGCAAGCATTGATATCCACTGTAAACACCTCCTCTGCTCTGACTGGTTGTGGTAAAACACTGGACAGCTAGAGATTCCTGGCCAACCGGTAGTGCAGAAATCTTCTTGCGGCACGTTAATCTTCTTGTGAGCACAAGAACAAACGCAGTATACCATGCTAAACCGAACAACAACAGTTTGCAGTATCTAAGCCAAAAGGTATAGGTTGGAGGCTATGGCTATTAGGTTGGAGGCCATTGCTATTAGGTTAGAGGCTTAGAGGCCATCGCTAGTAGGTTGGAGGGGCGAGAATCAACAATTGTGTGACAAAACGATTTGCTGTATTTGTCTGGGCAAATTCTGAGACCCCCAAATCTGCAGATGCACTGTTCAGGCCCAATTTGGTTTGGAAGCTGCGATTCAACATGGGTGCATAAGTATTCCTTCCAAGGGGTGAGGGCAGGCAAATGAGCACACTCAGGGAAGCCCCCAGTACCTGACCCACGTGATTTGGGAACCATGACCCCAACTTTGGTTGCCACGCGCACCACGCACCGACCGTATTGATGGAGGAATTCGACACACTGAGAACCGAGAACCTTCAAGGATTCACCATGGTTTTATCGATTGTTACGGGTTGTATCGGTCGTGTGGGAATGAACCAAGGAACAGGCCAACACATTCTGACAACAGGCCAGCGCCAAGAACAGCGACACCCGCTTGCCTTGTCCAGGTCCGGATTCTTGTCAGGATGTAGTGCTCGAGAAAGCTGGCGGGCGCTAATGACTGTGGTGTGTTTGGTGTCCTGGCGACCCTGAAATAACGGAATTCTCTGGATTGTGGGACACCGCGGCACACCTATCACATACTATAGCACGATACTTACCCACGTCCAGCAGTCTACATTCCCGAACCCATCTGACTCACATGACCCATACAGCACAGATTCATCCAGAATTGCTCCCTGCCTCAGGGAACAGGGCTGCATGGCTGTCCAGCCAATCGATCGGATGTCGACGATCCATGCAGCTCCCAGCTCTTTGGGATGTGCTTGGTCAAGCTGTGTTGAGTTGCAGTTGCCCACTTGGAAATAATGGCCATGCACAAACATTGACAAACGCCCTTGACAACGCCTCTTCATGTCAACAACGACGACGACAACAACGACGACAACGACAACAACGACGACAACGACAACGACAACGACAACGACGACAACAACAACATCATCAACAACACCATCACCACCACCACCAACAACAACAACTTCTTCCTCTTCTTCTTCTCACGCACTCGGAGAGTAGCGCCGCCCTTCGGCCATAGGCCGGACTCCCAGGTGGAGATCGTTCCTGTACCATGAGCTCGTAGCTCATCAAATTGAAATTGGAATGTACCGCTCAAGCCATCAGGCTGCCAAGGCCCATCGGCCAATGCGATCTGCAGTGAGGTACTGCAGGCACCCAAAACAAATGATCAGAAGATCCGAGCTCGGTCCAAAATCAACAGTGTTGAGACCAAGCATCCAAAAGGAAGAAACAGTGAAAAGAGTGGACTCTCATGTTAGAACAAGAACAAGAACAAGAACAATAACAAGAACAACAACAACCACAACCACAACCACAACCGCCACCACCGCCGCCGCCACCACAACAACCACAACAACATCAGCAACATCAGCAACATCAACATCAACAACATCAACAACATCAACAACATCAACAACATCATGCATCATCATGCATCCACTTCAACGCTTTCAGCCGCTGCGCTGCGCAAGAGGCACGGCACATGACCCGGACGCAGCGCCTGGCGGTAGGCGTAGGCAATGTCCGACTCGCCGTAGCCGCCCAGGTGGGCGCCACCCAAGCGGAGCACCGCCCCAGCGCCCAGCACCCGGCCGTCCTGAAAGAGTCGAACAACTCGCTTACGGTTTGTTCCTAGTAGCGATGCACTTGTTACTAGTAGCTTCTTGTTACTACTAGTAAGGCACTTGTTACTAGAAGCGATGCACTTGTTCCTAGTAGCGGCCTTGCTCCTAGTAGTAAGGCCAGGAGCCCCTAGTAGCGTCCTTGCTCCTATTCTATTTCCATGAAGGCCTTAGATCAAGATCACATTAATTCCAGCTGCAAAAACCAGCCAAATCCCACTGCAAAGGGAAATCGGTTCAAATGATCCAGGCACCCTCAGAACATGGTGCCCTTTCATGAAGCATCTTGAAGACAAACATGAAACATATTCAAACATATTCAAACATGCTATTACCTAAACGCCCCCCCGACAAAAAACAAGAATCTCCACCTTCCTTCAAAACCTCACCACGACCCACGACCCTCCCCGGAGCCGGAGCCAGTCCTCTGGGCAAATCCGCACCACCTCGTCAGCAGGAGGTCCCACTAAAATCTTCTGTTCCTTATGCGCCTCGGTGACCTCAGTGTGACAAGCGGGCCTTGTCTGCGACCGAGCCGATGAGTGGGGTTTCAAAGCGGCAAGAAAGGCGAAAAGCTTGGGAAGGTCGGTGAAGTGGTGCTGCTAAATCAATGTTGAAGATATATCTCGGAGAAAAAAAAACAAAATAGTAAACTTAACTACTAGTAGCCGTCCTTCTTCCTAGGGTTTAACAAATTATAGCAAAAGCTGGACTCGACAACCATCCTCGGAAAAGGCCTGAGGGTCAAAATTAAAGGATTCAGATTTTGCTTGTATAATTTGTATACCTCTACCTGAGCAACACTCAAGGAAAACATCAGGATACCAGGTAGAGGTAGCCTGATCACGGACCAAAACACCTGTGCATCCTTCCTATTTGAGTATTGCAAGTATTGTGTTCGATGCTGTGAGCCTGTCTGCGGGGCATGAAAAACACCTGGTCCAAGGGAACACCGACACTTGCTTGGATCTGGGTTTCTGGCAAGTTCCTTCAACTGAGAGGCTACAAAACCATTGCAAATCGATCGGCTCCAAGCTTCCCCACGGAGTCCCGAAGGCGTTTGCGGATGCTGGCATCCGCAAACCTGGGCGTCACCCCGGGACGGGACTGTGAAGTCTGGGGTGAGGAAGACGCTGGGGCAGCTGCGGCTGAGAAGCCGAACACTTTGGTATTTTGCTCCTAGTAACGATGCCAGGAGTTACTAGTAGCTTCTTGTTCCTAATAGCGAGAATGCTACTAGTAGTAATGCCCTTGTTACTACTAGCGATGCCGTTGTTCCTAGTAGCTTCAAACACCAAAATAGTGGCAAACTGAGCTCCAAGCCATGCTTTTTCACTGACAAACACACATATATACATATATATATATATATATCCAAATAAAAGAAACATGAAGAAGAAACCAAAAGCACAAATAAAAACCATATAATATAAAATATAATATGTGTGTTTCTGGATGCTAAAGCCAGGGCGTGGCATTGTCAAAAACTAGAGCAGCCGGACCCCCCCCAAAAAAATATGCCCGTACTCCCAGGATGTCCCAGGTAATTTTGTGGACAAGTCGATTGATAGAATTTGAATCAACACTTGGTTGAAAGCAACAAATGCTTTGCCTATTTGAATTTAAAAATATGGACTTCAACAATTACAGCCGTTGCACCAATGATGCTACAACTTATCACCAAATGTAGCGAGAGAGTTGAAATAGCCGAAGTGCACACCACATGGTTGACTGGAGTGCTGGCACTCTACACGGCTAGCTGCAAATCAAATTTGGTGAGTCTAGGCCAGGCTCCAATAAAACGAGCATATATATATATATATATATTATATTGAAGTTGTAGTGAAACGCATATTAATTGCATGAATTTAGCCAAATGCCAATGGAACTATAGAATGGCTTAGGGTGCATCCTGATTTATATACAACTGTGAATCGGACGTCGAACTCCATGTTGGTCAAAACCCGCACAAATC